GTTTAAAAATAGTGCTAATTATTTGTATGCTACATTATTTGAAATTATACGTTGTGAATTTAGTAGAATATTTACTTCTAAAACTTTCTCTTTTAACAGTCGCAAATCATTTAATGAATGGGCGACAGTAGGAATTTATAAAAGTAGGCGAAGGTTATACGAGCTTTATGATGAAAGATCATATAATAGTAGTGTTATATTTAGAGATTATGTAAAAACATATTCTAAAATATTTAAAAAAGTGTGCTCCACTGCTAAGGCTTTACATTTAAGCAACAAAATTAAAACTGCATCCGACAAAATTAAAATGACCTGGAGAATAATAAATAGTGAAACGGGCAAGGTCAAACCGCGCAACTCGGATTTTCTATTGAATATTAACAATAATTTAACCCGATCTGATCAAGAAGTTGCTATGGCTTTTGAGAAACATTTTACTGATGTTCCTTTTTTGACAACAAAATCATTAAATTCTTCTCCTACTGTCGCCGAATCATTGCTCAAACAAAATGTAAAGGCTTGTTCAAATACTTTTAAATTCTATAGGGTACTGCCAAAAGATATCGTTAAATATTTTAAAACTATTGATGTTAAGAAAACGGCAGACTTATGGGGGATTTCCGTTAAAGTTATTTTATCTATAATAGATACATTAGCACCTTATCTAGCCACTATATTTAATATAAGCGTCGAAACTGGTGTGTTTCCTGATTTAATGAAACATAGTAAAGTCATACCTATATTTAAATCTGGTAGTACATTAGACCCCGCCAATTTTAGACCAATTTCTGTACTACCAACATTAAGTAAAATTTTTGAAAAAATTATTTTAGATCAGATGTTAAGTTTCTTTAATATTAATAAATTGCTACATAATAATCAATTCGGTTTTACAAGGGGTCGCTCGACAACTGACGCTGGAGTTGAGCTTATTAAACATATTTTTTGTGCATTGGAGAATTCAGAGGATGCTTTGGGTATATTTTGTGACCTTTCCAAGGCCTTCGACTGTGTTCACCATGAGACATTAATCAGGAAGCTACAGTACTATGGTGTCAAGAACACAGCGCTTAAACTTATTATTTCATATTTAAGTAATAGAAAACAGAAGGTTATTATCAATGGTAAAAGTTCTTCCGGGTCACCTGTACTAATGGGTGTACCTCAGGGCTCGATTCTCGGCCCATTCCTGTTTCTGGTGTATATTAATGACTTACCTCACCTTGTAGGGGATAGTCATGATATAGTATTATTTGCTGATGATACTTCCTTGATTTTTAAACTTAAACGTCAATCATTTAAATGTGACGAAGTGAATAATGCTATATCAAAATTAGTGCATTGGTTTAACGTTAATAATCTGCATTTGAACGGAAATAAAACTAATTGTGTTAAATTTACAACAACGAATGTTCAAAATCTGAATACTAATGTGTTTTTAAATGGGGAGGAATTGAGCCCTGTTGTATCCACTGTTTTTCTTGGCATCACTCTTGACGCAAAGCTCCAGTGGGGCCCCCATATATCCAAATTAGCATGCAGACTAAGTTCTGCAGCCTATGCTGTAAAAAAAATTAGAGGTCTCACTAGTGTCGAGACAGCTAGATTAGTTTATTTTAGTTATTTTCATAGCATAATGTCTTATGGGATTTTGCTATGGGGAAATGCGGCTGATTCAGAAACTATTTTTGTTTTACAGAAGAGGGCCATTAGAGCTATTTACAATCTAAAACCGAGAGAGTCTCTTAGAGATAAATTTAAGGAAATTAATATATTAACTTTGGCCTCTCAGTATATTTACGAAAATTTAATGTATGTTCACAAAAACAAAGATAGTTTTAGTAAAAGAAGTGATATACATTATGTAAACACTAGGAACAAACACAAGCTAGTGATACCAGTTTCTCGACTCCACAGAGTCAGTAATTCATTCTTGGGGCAATGTATACGCTATTACAACAAGGTCCCGGAAAGTGTACAGGTTCTCTCTATTACCAAGTTTAAATGTTTTATTAAGCTGAAACTGTATAAAAAGGGTTATTATAGTATAAATGAATACATGGTTGATAATAACCCCTGGGAATGAGGTGATCGCTTCCAAGCAGTTTCTAAAATAAATTTTGTAAATAGTTCGTAATCATTTATATTGTAAAATTTATTTTAAAAAAAAAGTCCCGCTGGGTTTCTTGCTGGTTCTTCCCAGGACAGAGGGTTTTTTTCGAACCAGTGGTAAAGTAAAAAATGACTTTCAATAAGAATTACACATGTAATGTATATTGAATAAAAAATATTCTATTCTATTCTATTCTATTGAGAAAAATGGCAGATCATATATATACATATACACTCACGCCTGTCACCCAGAGGGGTAGGCAGAGACTACGGACTTCCATTTGGCGCGATCCTGACACACCTCTCTCGCCTCTTTTACATCCATATATCTACGCATACACGCTCGTCGGTTAAGGGTACTCCTAATCTGGCCCATTTTTAATGTATCGCCGATTTGGTCGATAAACCTTCGTCTAGGGCGTCCCTTCCCGACCCTGCCGTTCACTTCAGATCAGGCAGATCAATAAAATGCATTCCAGACTGCATTTGAAGAGGCATGTTATAAAGTTATTTTGCCTTAATAATTCTCTTAGATCTAGCAGTAGAAATAATCTTGCTTCCCTTAGCACCATCCTCGCCAACACTCTTCCCCGAAAGTGACAACCCTTCCGAATCACTGGTAGAACAGGGAATCGATTTCAGATCAGCGAATGAGGTGGCGGTATATCGCCGACCATTGGAACCAACCATGACTATACGACCGTCTTTTGTCCAACATTTATTAATGCCAAACTAATTACGAACAGCTAAGAAAAGGTCATGTCGAGTCTTGGTCAAAAATTCTGATGCAGTAATACCAGTATTTTTGAATGCAGTTTTCGAATACCAAATGAGATTTTTATTTTCAATATTATTAAACTTGACTAGAACAGGACGTGGTTTACCTTCTTTAGAAATGCCTAAGCGATGACAACTGGTGATTACATCAGTATTTATATCTGTCATTTTTAATTTGTCTGCAAACAATTTACATACTGTATAAGGAAGGTCTTCTTTCTTCTCCTCTCTAATACCATGTAAAAGGATCATCTTACGTCTGGATCTCATTTCAGATTGGTCATATAATTTGAATAACAGTTGCACTTGTTTATTGAGAGTTTTTAAGGATGTGAGCACAAAAGAACGAAACATTTCAAAATCTGTTGAAAGTGAGGAAGTATTACCCGCAGTTGGTGAAGAGCTACTTGCTTTTGCTTCTAGGCTTTTCTGAAACTCTTCCATTCGAATGTTAAACAAAGTTGACATGTCTTCAAGTGACTTCTGAAGTGTCTCCATTTTAGTGACAGTGCAAGGGCAGGTTATAAACACACTGTGAGAATTATTTAGTGGCAAAATTCAGTTGCAGGCTTGTAAATAGTTGTATGGAAATATGCTGGTAGGTAAACGAGTTTAATTTAGCACATCAGTTATACAAAACACTTGTTAAATATATTATTTTGCTTAAACTATGCAGCTTATTATTTTTACGTGTAGTATGCACACTCCTACCCGCAAAAAAAAAGCGTGCGTCTTGTGATAGATCTGCGGGTGTGGTGAGCCTGATTCGACGTATCTTGTGGTTCTGGTCATGGGGGAGCTTGGGGTGGTGTAAGCCCTACGATAGTCGTATTGATGCTTGTTACGCTCTGCAGCATTGCGTCTCTGCGATGGTTGTTTGGCGGGTCGCTGTTCTCAATGGCGCTGTCTGCATCTTGGTTTGACTCACAACCTAAGTAGCTTTGCCCCTTCATTACGGGGCTGCAGACTGTCTGACCTCCATGATGTTTTATATAACAACATAATAATATATCTCTATTAATCACTCACTTTTGAATGATTGAAGACAACTTGTTGGTAGGTGAGACAAACATGATCGAAAAATGCATAAACCCTTTCTGATGGCGAACTATTACTATAATCTTATAAGTGCCTATTGGCTATATCTGCCTTTGTATTGGTTGATGGAACATATGTATCAAACTCATGCGGGTGGTAGCTGGAGGGAGAATCTGAGGAAGCTCTCAAGGCTGCGACCGAAAGCCGCGCAACGTAAAATCCTTCCCTTGAGGTGAGCGGTAGACTCATAACACGCTCTGCGGCTAATTGGCCGTGCTGATCATGCATTTGTTGGTGATACCTTACACTTACATCACTTCTGCAGGAACGACGATCTGGCAGGTGGTGACTCTCACGGAGGGCTTTTTATGGTTAGTGTGCCTATTGTGTCCTAATCCTTGTGATGTACATTTCACTGTGGCTGAATCGTAATCTATATGGCGTTTACACTCATTGACATGCGAGATTTCGACGATGTTTGTGCTTACGCACTACCAAGGGACCAAGCCCTCTTTTACTGGTACGCCAGTTATTTTGCGGTGGACTATGGTACAATTCCCAACTTAATGTCCTCTTCGGGGGGAGCACTTTTCTTGGTTGGCGCTCACCGCACACGGCTTATGCCGTGTGCCTCGCCCACATTTTTTTTAAATGTGGAAGAGCTAAACCCTTGTATCTCGTATTTTATATAAATATTGTGAGTCATTTCCAAGCGAAAAGGGACTAATTAATAAGGAATTGACCTATTTAATGTTCTTAACCTTTTTGAGCCCTGTCTTAGTGAACAGGATTCTTTAGCTTATAAAGCACTACCAACAGCTTTCGACTGCTCTAGTGAATATTCTTTCTTCCAAGAGACACCTAAAATAACTAAGTTACTAAACAAACACAATGTAAATAAGGGTCATAATTAAGACGATCACGCCATAATTCTATTAAATGGCCTATATTTAAACTTTTAGAAAGACCAATATATGGTTAATATAGTGATTACGTAAATTTGATATATTTTTATATATCTTAAAGATATAGATTCTAAAGAAATAAAAAAGAGAAAGAAGAGAAGAGGAGAGCTAGTTCTTCCTTTTTTTCAATCTCAATTTTACACCATTTGCAGATTCAGTAACTATTCTGTATTTAAATTGTGGCTCTGTTCCCGGTTCTCCAGGTAATAATTCGTAATTGCGCAAAATATTCGAAAGTGATGTTTTCATCGCCATCCAGGCATACCGGAAACCTAGACATAAAAATTAGTTATACATTTTTGGTATGAACTTAAATGAGTAAAAAATAACAAGCCGTTTTCTAATATATGAATTCGACTTCAGTTATTTCAAAAGTGCTTAAAGTTGCTCACTTACCTGTCTCTCTTATCCCTGAATGACAAAAGAAATAGACTGATAAAGAAATAATTAATACTTATTTTAAGTAAGCGATAATCAACTATTACAAGTGAGGCTGTCAATTTATGCCGATAGTAATATTTTTATAAGTTTATTACCTATGCAATTCCTAGGTCCTGCACTATATGGCACAAAAGCCAATTGGGGAAGGTTATTTAAAACCTATCTGGGTTGTAGTCTTCGGGTTGTGAAAATACTTTGGGATCAACGGACATTGCCTCGAAAAATATTATGACGGCGCTTCCTGTTGGAACAATTCGACCATCTGAAAATAAACTACATATGTAATTAAAAACATTTTAAAGATTACTCCTTCGCTTTATTTATATTTAGCTAACATGTACCAAGTCCGTATACAAGGGGCATGATGTTAAAAGAACTTAGATACATTTTAGTCAGTGGAGAAGTTTCATGATGTCGATGAAAATATATAGAACGTAACAAAAATAAAATCAATATAAATTAAAATTAATAAACCAGTAATAAAAAATAAAATTCGTCACTTAATGGCTAAGAAATTATTAATTAAGTTACATATTATTGTAGCGCTGTTTGACTATAGCAAGTTATCGTACTAATACATTTAAAAATTTAACACCTATGTTTCAAATATTTTTATTTGGAAATTGCTTTTTCATGAGAATATGGCGGTAATTTGCTTTTGTTAATGGAGCCCAGTTCATATGATTTTCACAAAAAAACGACACAGAGTGCTTTGACGATGGGCCAACTGCAATGAAATTTCGCCGATTGTATAGCAACACAGAGACAACTCCTCGCCTCGTTTTTCTGAATGTCGCCTAAATTTGCTACTGCTGTACTAGAGAATAAAAAAACGATCATCTCCGAATGTTATGTGGGAGCCTCAAAAAATTATCAGTTAGGTGCGACAAGCGTCCAGAGTCTGTAATCAGGCAGCTTTTCAGGCACCATGAATCTGAAAGAGAAGTTTGAAAGAAAAATAGACATGACTGTTATTTCGAAATTTCTAAGATGTCTTAAGAAGAGTCGCCAGACGTATTTTACAAGTTGCTCTGACGTATGAAAAAATGTAGATGAATACTTAAAAGGTCAATACTAGAAATAAAGAATAAATGCTATCAATTTTTAGGTACTAAGTATTTAAAAAAAAGGTAGACAATTTGTTTAGGTGTATTAAATAAGTAAGTGGTTAATAAACATCGCAATGCATGAAATAGGTTCCCTGTCTTAGTTAATTTACCTAAACATAAAACGGTCACTGTGTCCTTTGGACAGTTTTATAAAAACGAATTGTAACATGAAGATTAATAGAGTTATTCTACGTGGTAATGTCACGCTTCAGCTATATTATGCTTGCATTACGAACGGAACGGCTTGACCTGGGTAGCACCCCGCTCTCACCGAATACCAGCGAGAGATAGCAAAAAAAGGCTGTGTTCTCTTTTTTCTTGTAATGTAGCATTCCAACTTATTCTTCAGGAATGACAACGCATCTATGTTTTGAATCTTAATTGAAGATAGACGTATGCCTATGGGTCTCTGCATCCACTTATACCTTCATGTAGACTGTGTGCACGCATGTCGCCCTTATTCTATAAAAACGATATTTTATTAATTTAAACAATATGTTAAAGTGCAACCTTTAATTTTGCACGAAAATACTGACATTATGTAGTGCACTCTCTACACTTTTACTGCTTGTAAGGCATTTCATCTTAGTCCTCATAGGTAACAAAACATCTGTAACCCTGTTATTTGAAGTATAGCTGTAGGTGTCCATGGCCTCCAGGAGCCAGTAACCACCTGGTGCACTGCATATAAATGTACACGATTCATTTTTTTATCAGCTTGAAAACAATATTTACCTTTTAATACATTATAATTTTTCAGCTGCCTTCCAATTTTTGTAATCGTTGGTATTACACAAATGCTTTCCTTGATGACAGCTTCAAGATACTTTATTTCACTTAAATCTTGGTGAGTAAGTTTCCTCGAAATGTCATTATTAAATACCGATAGTTGTTCTTCCTACACTCTTTTCTGCACTTTTGGATATTTTGCTAAGCAATAAAGTGTATGACTCAATGTCATTGTCATTGTGTAATGACCCTGTAATTTTCATTACAGTAAATATTACTGTTCTTTAAAATGTATTTAAATTATAATATTTCTCCCTACTATGATATGCAGTGGCGTATTTAGAGGATGACTATGACGTTAATGAATTTTCCTATACTCACCCCGCTGAGCAGGTGGCATATTGTACCAGGCTATAAAATTGAGATTCAACGTTTTTAAATAGTCTCTCCACCACCAGTCCAGTAATCAGAGTGGTACAGCACGGCAATGCATTCAGACTTATATTAACGTTCTTAGCATACAGGTGAAGTTGACATAATATTCTCCTTCACTTTTCCGTTTAAAACAATTGAGTAATTCTGTTCTCGTATTCTGTTAATCTTGAACATTCAACAACTACTTCAATGCGCCTTGCGCATTTTTTTGCCGCGATCTCAAAGTTATTAATCGTGTAATAGTTATATATATAACTATCACATGTGATAGTTATATATATACGTAGCTATAATAATTAAATAGTAATATCATTACAACAATCTTTTTTTAATTAAGATACGATAGTTTTCATGCCCTAGACGAAGATTTATCGACCAAATCGGCGATACATTGAAAACGGGACAGATTAGGAGTACCCTTAACCGACGAGCGTGTATGCGTAAATATATGGATGTAAAGGAGGCGAGAGAGGTGTGTCAGGATCGCGCCAAATGGCAGTCCGTAGTCTCTGCCTACCCCTCTGGATGACAGGCGTGAGTGTTTGTGTGTGTGAGTTTTCATGCAAACGATATAAAAAAGAGAAAGCTCAATAGGAACAGACAGAGAATAGAGTACAAAACATTAAAAAAAATATGGAAAGTCTTCAAATATAACTAAATAATAGCACTTAGCAAGAAGAGATATAAGCTTAAAACACAACAAATACATTATTTAAAAAGTGGATATGCATAAACCAAGAAGAAAAAAATAAAACTTAGAATCAGACTATCCACATACTACACCAGAATCAGATAATAACAAAAGTAAATGCTATTAGCATCAAAACAAAAAACTAAGTCTCCGTTACCGTTACAGTCTATTAAAGTTCATTGCTGAACATGGACCTCCCCCATAGGTTGCCTCATAAGGGGTGGGGGTTACCACGCTTGCATTCTAAATTGGAATCTAGCAATTCCACAGGAAACAGTCACACACACAATGTAGGTACGAATAAATTTGGATTAAACTAACCTTACGCTTATACATTGAAATCGGATATGCTCATATGTCAGATGGAATGGTGCGCTGCGCAAGAGCGATGACAAATCCTCTCTTTAAAGGGAGTGGGGTAGCATATTCAGCCGTGGAATTTTACGGGCTGTCGAAGAAGTTATATTACCAGTAATAGTAACTGTTTAATAGAACTGTATAATTAAAACAAATAATTATATTAAAAAATACCGAGAAACATAGAAGGCTAATTTTTTCATTTATAACTTCGTCCGGAATGAAGTCCCCGTTAATCGATTTACTGAGAATAAAATTATCTAAAATGCAGCTATCATCTGATAGCTTTTCGTTGATTAATTTTTCTACCGCAGTATTAGAGACACAAAAATTAATAACAAAAATGTACATATTTTTGTTATTAATTTTTGTGCCTTTAATAAACTTTTTTCTCCTTTCCGCTAATATCTGTAATATTAAATGATATTTAAATGTATATTTTTCCCAACATAAGTAACATTAAGTATACAAAACATATTTCATTAACATTACATCTGTGCTTGTATCCCGAACAGTCTTAACGGTAGCCATCATTTCTCTATAATGTGAGGTTAATACAAATAACGCAAGAATATTTCTCCAATACGAGAAGTAATTAATAGTGATGATTTTTTTTATTGGAGAGGGGGCAAAGGAGCATGCGGCTCACCTGATGGTAAGTGACTACCGCCGCCCATGAACAACCGCAACACCAGGGGAATTGCAGATGCGTTGCCGGCCTTTTAAAAAGGAGTAGGTTCTTTCTTGAAGGTTCCTAAGTCGTATCGGTCCGGAAAAATCGCTGGTGGTAAACTATTCCACAAGGAAGTTTTGCGAGGAAGAAAACATCTTCTAAATCGCACAGTGGTGGACCGCCAATCATCCAGATGGTGTGGATGGTATCGGGAGTTCCGCCGCGATGTGCGTTCGTGAAATTTGGCGGCTGGGATTAATCCGAACAATTCCTCAGAGCACTCTCCCATGGTAAATGCGAAAGAAAATGCAAAGAGATGCAAAATCTCTTCGCAGTGCCAATGAGTCGAGCCGATCGGAAAGGACTCGGTCCTCGGTGATTCGAGCCGCTCTGCGCTGGGTGCGGTCAAGTGGAAGGAGCTGGCACTGGGGAGCCCCAGCCCAGAGATGGGAACAGTATTCCATGTGAGGCCGAACCTGCGCCTTGTAAAGTTGCAGGCGTTGAGCTGGCATAAAATACTGTCCCGCTCTGCTGAGCACGCCAAGCTTTTTAGAGGCCAATTTGGCCTTCTCTTCCAAGAGACCACGAAACTTCACGTCACTCGATATGTCGACGCCGAGGATTTCGATACTGGCTGAGGCAACAAGGGGAGTACCTTGAAACTGAGGAGATACGACAAAGGGGTTCTTTTTAGCGGTAAACGCGCAAACTTGTGTCTTCTGAGGATTAAACTGGACTAGATTTAGTCGCCCCCAATCCGAGACTTTGTCCAGCAAAAACTCGACTTCAGACACAAGTATGTTCCGGTACTCGGTGACGTTTTCCCGAGAAATATCGGCACGGCCGGTGTATAGAGCATCACCAGTGCTGTCATCCGCATAGCAATGAATGCTACCGACTTGCAACATATCATTGATATGCAGAAGAAACAGCGTTGGTGATAGCACGCGCATGGTGTGGATGGCCGATTGCTAAGGGCTGTGCAGTCACTTTACTGTGACTGTAAAGCCTGTGTGCGGGTAGGGCATGACCTGTCACCCATGTTTAGCATCCAAACGGGCGTAAAACAGGGTTGTGTCATGTCTTCCTGGCTGTTCATACTGTATCTCGACAGCTGTTTACAAAAGCTGAAAGATAGCTGTTT